CTACTAACTACTAAACCAGCAGTTATTTGAGGAGGAAAACCAACTTTTTTTTGCTTATATATGCTCTTCCCTGCAGTATGCTGGATTTCTCTCACAGAAATTGACACCATAAACTTACGTGAACAAACAGGATTTTGTTTTGCCACTATTATTCCCAAGGAAGAAATGTCTTGATACCAGATTCTTCGGAAGTTGGTAGACTTTGTCAACTAGGCTGTACATTTATAGAATCTTTTGCACATCATCACAATCAAAATGCCACTTGTCCCGCGTGAGTTTTCCTAGTCTGAATCAACTTCCTTAACAGTCAGCAGATAGGAAGCCCTTCTACAACTCCTCCATGTCTCAGAGTCTGGCACAGTTTTTTTTTTTTTTAAGAAAAAAGAATTCAGAATCTTTTTGACTTATGTGATCTGCAGAGAAAAGCATATACATACAAATTTGGGACCATTCATAATTTGCAGCAATCAAGATCCATTAGATTTCCAGTAAGGAGCACTTTTAAGTCTAAAAATAGCTGTCTCATGGTATGGCACTATCTATCCATTTTAATCTCAAGTAACACAACCAAAAAACTACAGCTAGTCCTGAAACCAGGGAATAAAGGAAATAACCTGGCAAAACAATCAGATGGGTACATTCCAACTTAGAATCCTCAGAAGACAAATCAAGCTGATTCCGTGTGAAGGCTATCTATCAGACCTTTCATCTTTTGTGGTTGGTCAGTCATTCGAACCTAAATGCAACACGTGGGCAAGGTATTTGTTCCATCAACTGGTCTAATATCTACTATTAGACTGTGTTGCGTAATCTGATCACATAAATTTAGCAGTATTCACATATAATACTTGCACTCAGATAACCAAAATGATTTTAATCCAAGACAGAACAGTCAAATCTACCAGTAATAGACAGAGAAATCTATCAGAAATGGACAGAAAACTTTAGAGAATGCTACAATTTGTTTCCGTAAATCTTACAATAGCTAAGTAATCCTCGATATGAAGCATCAGGATAACTTGTATTCTTATCTATTCTGAAGGAGAGTAACATTCATTGTCAATCACCTGTTGCACAAGTTATCACATTTTTGCTTCAATATAATCGAGGAGCTTCATCAAATGAGTGGATGGCAACAGAACCATCAAATCTTTTATGCACAGGTTTCCTTCGACAAAATAAGTAAAAAAGTGAAATGTGCGGAAGAAAGGTGTAGATGAAAAAGAATTGAAAGATAAAAAGAACAAATAATCATTATTCTACCTCAGCAGTAAAATTATCAATGTTAAATAAATGAAATGAAAAGGAAAAATAAGATATTCATATTAATTTCAATTCTCACCTTCTGGATTCTATCAAGTTCAAATCTCTCCCATGCAAAAATATATATATATACACATTTTTGGAAGCCTAAAGCCATTGCCAAAATATTAAACCTTGGACTGGTGTGCCACTGTTACATGGTAGATTCATGGAAGCACCAAACCCATTTGGAGATTAGATACAATAAAAGGAGTTAGCAAATGCAGTAAGACTTTAATACTAGCTGGTTGAGGAAAACTGATGATGGGCCAAAGATTCAATTCTCTCTTTTCACTTATCCAAACTTCAAGTTAGATAAACCAATTAATGAAATCACATCTAAATGCAATTCAAGGACTCTGTTCTCATAAAGAAATAGTTTTATCTCTATAATGTATTCACAGACATTGAAGAAAGAAGAACCTGACCGTTAATGTAACACAAACTAAAAGAAAAAAAAAAAAGAAAACCATAGGAAAGAGCGAATAAGTTTTAGCTTACATTACATGTTGCTGAATCCAAACAGGCTGCATTTAAAGAGTTCAACGGAGCAGGGCTATCCTCCAGGCTTCTAATTTATTTTCCTATCAGCATGAATAATCACTATACAGATAAATATTCTAAAACTCATGTGGGTTACACCAATAGAAAACTTCAAGAATAACTGAGCCGATATTAACTTTTTAACTGCAACAGCAAATATAACCTACGAAGCACCCTGTAATGTAGCACTTGCCAAAAATAAAATGCAAAAAAAAAAAAGCATTCATCATAAGCCACTAAGAGATAAAATAATTGAAAGAAAGTATTGTTATATTCCCCACTATAAGAAGCTGTGTATGGTCCTTACAAATTTATTGACATGAAAGTTTATTTAAACAAAGCATAATTCTCATAAAACTAACCAGAAAGGCACCCTCCTCTCTGCTTTATGACTACTCCTGTATTCACTTAACCCTCTCTATCGATTACCAAACATGAAGAAACTAATCCTACTTCTTGATTTTCCTTTGCTGCTTCTTGGGTCCCAGCACCTCCAATCTTCCTACAGAACAACCGCACCTTGCTTTAAAAACCAGTACAGCACGCCCATTAGGCGGTGCCATCTTCTTGAGTTCTGCTTCCAGCTCTCTATGGTGATCACGATGCAATTCAAACAAGCCCCTTTTGACACCGCCGTCTTTCATATTCGAGTTCCTTACACACTCTTCTGTCTCTAACTGAATATCAAACTCAGCTGCTTTTCTTAGCCCCTTGCAGTTTGGATTCCCACACTTCCTGCTAGTGCAGACAAGTATGGCCCATACAGCCAACACGGCAGAAGAGATACTAAGCGCTATAGATCCATATATCAATGGAGCTCGCCCCATTTCTTCTCGGAGGAGATACATAATTGCACCAAAAACTTCAGTCAGTTTCACAGCCACGAATTTGATGTAAGGAAACAACAAGAACCCACAAGCACCAATCACCGCAATCAACATCAAAACATCAATTGCTGCGGATCGAAATCGGTGGCAAGCGGGGATTTTCAAGCAGTTTGTTGAATTGGGTGCCTTCTTGGTTCTGTGTAGATGATTGTTGAGCCTTGGTTTTGGATAAAAATCAGCTGAGTTCACAGAGTTTGCCATGATCTTGGTCGGTGGGTGGTCAACGGAGTTGCAGACCGAGATTGAGCAATGAAAATATACCATTTCAAAATGAAAAATAGCAATTTATTTCAACCCAATAGAATCTTATAAACACCCGCTAATCAACCGTAAATCCATATAAACCCCACCAACCGATACGCATAATCGGATCGATCCAGTTCATGAAAGAGGCAGAAGGAGACGAATTGAAGGTGCGTCTGAAGTTTAGATCAGATTTTGTCGGTGCGCAGACGTATGAAAGTGTTCCAGTCCAAAAGCAGGTGAAGAAAAGAGGGAAAAAATCTAGGAGAGTGAATCTGAATTGAATTTGGAGATATTAGGAAATCTGAAGAAAATGAAAAAGGTTTAAGGATGGCCGGCGGAGATGAGAAACCAGAGAAGAGAAGCAGAGAGGACAAGGGAGCGTCGTATACTTTGCTTGGTTTATAATTATTGTCACAAAATTTTGCAGAGAGCACTCGGCATGTGTAACTGGGTTTTTTTTTTTTTTAATTTCTTTTTTTCTAAAAGTGGAAAGGCAGAAAGATTACGTGGGCTGAAGTCATAATGGGCTTGTACAGCCTTTTCAGAAATGATGTCCGAATGATTTTGTGGGCCAGCTCTTTGGGCCTGGCCCACTTTATTCCCTTCCATCATTTTTATGTCCCTATTTCATATTAATATAAATAAAAGTATAATATAATGTTATAAGCTTTGAATTATTTATAAATAAAAAAGAAAAGTTAAGTTATAAGTAGGTGGTAATGAAATTAAATATTTATAATCCTTATATTAAAATAACTCAAAATCCATTTTTAAGCCATTGAAGTTGAGAATATCTTATTCAAACAAATTCATAATCATTACCATGTTTATATAGATTGCAAGAGTTGAAGACAATCAATAAAAAAACTTGTACTTGTTAACAAAAGAAAAAAAAAGAAAAAAAAAAAGAAGGGAAGGTCAACATCTATATTTAATAATTTATTATAATTATTTTTATAAAATTTCTATTTTATTCTCATATTTAAACTCTATTTATAGAATTATTTTGATAATCCAATAATAATTATCAGTTTTTTTCCTTAACTTATTTTGATTTAAGAAACATAGAATATGTGTCACAATAATATTATTCTAACATTATAAGAATTTAGAAATTACTTATGCAGTAATTACTACCAAAAAAAAAAAAAAAGAAGAAAATTGACGTGGTTAAAATTTTATTAAACCAAAGATGATGGTCCCTCCTTTTTAGTAAGAAGATTATATAAACTATGATAAAATGTAGATATTAAAATAGTTTATATATTACTTTAATCATCGAATGAACGAAATTTGAGTAATATAATTTTATAGATTACGAAATTTGTCATATGTTAAATAATTTTATATTTTATTCTCGTAATAATTTTATTATAATATTTATTAATTCTTTATCGATACTTTATTTTATAGGTCATATTATATATAAATAATTAATTTAGAGTTAGAGAACTAAATGAAATCAATCAATCAATCCTTATAAACATTATTAAAGTAGTTGTCCTCAATTAAAACATGTGTTGGGGTCTCATTCTTTTGAAATAAGGTTTTAAAATTTTATATTTAAATGAATAAATAAATGATTTAATCCCAAATCTTAGTAAAATTATTTTTTGAATTAAATGAAAATATGTAAATTAGAAAATTAAGATCAAGTAAAAATGTGATACTCAAAATAAAAATGAAAAAATTAAAAATTATTTAATATTAAAACTGGTGTATTTAAAAATGCAAGTGTGCAGCTCTGTATAATTCCTCAAGTGTCCAAATTTTCAATTTTGTGTAGATTTTAAAACTTTAAGATTAATATTTTTTTAGTTTTCTAAATTATAAAATATCATAAACGCAGACTATAAAAAGCAATAATATATTTCAGAGTTTCTAAAAATATTGAAATTTAAATATTTTGATTTCATTTAACATATAATTAAAAATATAATCCAAATTGTTAATTATGTTGCGAATCTTGTGAATTCACAATTTTAGTTTAGAAAAAAATCAAAATTTAGGTTAGCAATTCTAGTGTCGATTAAACAATGATGATTATTGTCAAATTAAAAATCTACATACAATTATATTCTAATTAGAAATACACCATAATTAATAAAAAGTAAAAAAAAAAAACTACACGTATTGCAAATTTATTAATTGAAAATTATATTAAAATTAAAATTATTGAAGTATAAATTTTTTATCGACTAAATAACTAGTGAAAAAGTATAAAAGATATGTAATATATTCCACAAGCTGTGTAATTAATTAAAAGTAAAACTTTTATTTAATTAAAAATTATACTAAAGTAAAACAGTATAATTAGACATATAATCCGTGTAGGATGTACATATATATATATATATATATATATATACATATATGAGTGGGCAGGAATACATTATCTTGTAGTTGAT